GACTACGTTTACACGGCTCGATTTACGCCGAAGTTACACATCGATGTTAGGAAACTGGCCAATCACAGTCATTCCATTCTTTAGAGGAATAGCTATGATTGGCCAATTTCATGACCGATGTTGTAACTTCGACGTAAATCGAGCTGTGTAAACGTAGTAGATGAATACACGTTGTTGATGCAAAACGAGTTGTGCATCTATCTCAACGACGTTTCCGTGGCATAAATATGTAAATACAGTATGGCCGAAAGAAGCGGAAGCTTTCCTACTTTCCCGGATGGCATTTCGTTATGCGATTGAGGAAGTTGTAACGTTTTGTTGTTCAATGTAATTTCTTGGATTCACGAATTCTCGGAAAGAAATGACATAAATGGTACCGCCGTGATCTTTCACAGCATATTTCAACTGGTCCGAGAAGAATGTTACTCGATCGCCACTGGTAAGAAAGAGAGAGAGAGAGAGAGAGTGAGTGAGTGAGTGAGTGAGTGAGTGAGTGAGTGAGTGAGTGAGTGAGTGTGAGAGAGAGAGAGAGAGAGAGAGAGAGCGAGTGACTGAGTGAGGGGGAAAGAAAGAGATGTTATGTTTATATCTCGGTGAAGTAGGAGGACACATTAGTGAATTCTAAAATCTCACGGGAGGATGGAATGCAACGAACGGAGACGTCAGTATACATTTTAATGCAATGCCGCGGCAGGCCTACACCGCATGCCCTGACATTCCGCTCGTCGACGATGTCAAAGCCATAGGCGCTGCCATGGACACGGACGTGGATCTCAGCAAGGGTGAAGGGTGCGAGACTATCCCGGGTTGCTCTGGCTACTCTAGCATGGTGCACAGTAAGAAGGTCATTAAGCATGCTTTACGACAGCAAGCCAAACGGCGCAGGAAGAACACGACGATAGCGGCGGGTAATTCCCGTACGTTGCCCAGGATCGTTGTTAAACCGCTACCGCCACCGCCTCCGAACGATCCACCATCCCCAGTTAATAATATGCAACACGTCAACACCGGTAATCTCAATTTGATATACGTTATTTGTTCTATCTCTACTTTGCTTTTCATACAGAAGAAGTCCATGGAATTCGATGATTTCTAAATAGAGAACTTTAGTGGTACAACATGCAAAAAAGCATTTGATTTTACTTGACTGCCTTTATATAATTTACATATATTTATTTAACATTACAACTATATATGTGTTGTTAACTCTGACATACATTAATTTGCAACATATACCTATAATTCGATAGAATATTAACAAATTGTAATCTATTGATGTTTTATCAGTAATATTAGAAAATTACGAATAAAGAAGATTTGTTTTTCAGTTAAATAAAAAAATGAAAAAGGAAAAATATAAAGTAATGCTTTATATATATGTATAATAATATATACATTCATGTCTATTTATATATTACTTTGATATGATAAATTATATGTAAATGTCTCGATATTTATCATATTCAACATTATATTTTTTATTCTTAATTGTGATATGTTTATGAGAGACTGCAATGGATTTTTTAAGTAGTGAGAAAACTTTGATTAGTGTTTGACAAACATATATGTTTTGACAACATTTATTGCAAATACACAGATTAATATATATAACAATAACAATATTGATACTGTTATAACTTGAGCAAACATTAATTGTATAAGTTTATTTTATTTTCTTCAGATTATGCAAAATAAAGATTATAGTAAACAGTTTTATTTTTATTTACTAATGTGATAGTAACTCATTATATGAAATAATTCATATTTTGTGTGAATATAGCAGCGGAAGAACCTGCTGCCACAATGAGAGAAGTTTTGGCTAGTTTACCTGGATTTAGCTTAAAGTCAAGCCGCAGACGATCTACAAAGAGACTGTCTGCAACCGCGCAATTAGAAGCTGGTCTTGTAGATTTGGAATCTCCAGCGAGTATATTAGCAAGTACGAGCTTACGCGCGCTGTTAAATAGGCATACATTTCAAGGCTTGCCTCCACTGTATCAACGGAAGCTTGCACAACTCTTGCCTGCTGTAGATAGACAGGTACTAAACATAATTTCTCAGTATTATGTACCAATGAATTATTTGATGAAATTTAATTTATGTTATTCTATTTTATTTCTAGGATGCTGCTATCTCTGGACTGAATAATGAATTTTTTGCAAGAGCTTGCCTGGAATGGCGGAAACGTCTAGCAGAAGGAGAATTCACTCCAGAAAATCAGCAACGCCTGAAGATGGAAGCAGAACGAGATAAAAACAAGCTAGATCCATGGAAAGTGAAACATTTTGAACCAATATGGGGAGAAAAGCGAGAGCCTAAACTTAAATCGAATCTCCATTATATTAACGATTCACGTTCTAGTGGTGCAGTAACACGGTCAAGTTTAAGACTTCGTTTGGAATCTAGCGTGGATATTCCTACTGTGGATATTCCTACCGTGGATATTCCTGCCGTGGATATTCCTACCGTGGATATTCCTAGCGTAGATATTCCTACATCGGAACATGCTGTCTGTTCCATTGTAATGACAGATGATAAAGTCGATACTAGCTGCAAGACCGAAATAAGCATAAAGAGTACCGATGATCTAGTTAGTCCCGAAGAAGTGCAACAAAATTT